CGGGGGGGGACGCCGCCTGCCGCGGGCCGGGCCCATCTTGCTTAACGAGGGCTTTTCTTTACGGTCGCTGGTCTAGGATCTGCGCCCGTGCAGGCTTTTCTGGATCCCTACCTCGTTAAATCCCTCCTTTTTTTTTTTCCAGACTAAAAGTCTTTAATGACTTAAACCTTCAGAAACTTAGGGGGTTTTTTGTGTTTTATTGCGACACTGCTATATAACTCGGTAGAGCGTTCCTGAGATGTGCATTACTTTAACGAGAATTTTACAAAATTTGTCTTTTTAAACTCCTGCAAATCTGTAGTTAACAGGTTTTTTTAAAACTAAACTTCTAATATTAAACTGAACTTTATACTGTATTTGCAAGAAAGCAAGCCTTAACTTCTGTAATTCAGTAGTTTTAAGAAAAACTTTTTTTTTTCAGCTGAGACTGCTGCAACTGTTTATCAGTTCCTTAAAGAAAGCTGTAACTCATCCATAAATGCAGATGTGAGCGCATTCCCAGGTAAATATAGTAATGTACAGTAAGGTAAGGCAAATTTTATCAAGGAATTGGCCTAGGCACATTTTATGATCTAGGTGAAACAAGTCGGAAACTTAAGGAAACTCAATCTCTGCAGTGTGCCTAAACCTGCAGGTGGGACTGCCCCTGCTGCTGCTGTTTCTGTGGAGAACTGATGTCATTTCAGCAGCTGAGGTGTTAGGAGATGATTAAATAGATTGGACAGAAGAAATGGAAGAGAAGGGTTTTGAAAGGTTGACAAATTTCAATCCAGCTTAGCAAGAAAGAGTAGGAAAGGGCTTGTTTCTCATGTCAGTGGGCAGCTTGATATTTTCATTACTCCTATGATGTCTTCTAATCTTTTCAGTGGAAGCAATATTTGTCAGTTGAGTATCAATTCAGAACCCTAATCCATGAATATTTATTAAATCATTTTATCATCTTAAAATAGATTTCTGAAGATGTGCTTTAGTACTTTTAGGGGTCGGGTGTTTGGGGTTTTTTTGTTAAAAAATGCTTTTTTAGTTCTTTACTTGGTTTGGATATCTAGTGTTGAGCTGTAAAGGCTCATCTTGTCACAGCTGTCACAATTGTGATTCATGTGGGGAAACCACTATAAGCTGTTGAAATTCATGAAGGTGGGGATGTTAAGCTGTTTTCAACTTCTGTGCTTTTTATTGCATAGAAATGTTGAGAGATCATCTCATTTTGTGAACTGCGTAAACCATATTTATGAAAGTTGTGATTCAGTTCAGGTATGAAACAACACCAGCAAATGGAGAGCAACATTGCCCAGAATGGAGAAGAGGTCAAAGATTTTCTTACTTATTAACAGTCAGAGGATCAGTAATAGTTAGACGCTTGCCAAGACACTTACCTACACCTTAATATGTTTAGAAATTAATTATGATGCTAAAAGAAAGTAGAACTCAGGTCATTGTGGCACATTAAATGACTCGCATAGAGTCTTTCAACAGAGATGTTCATAATAATAGGAGGAATAGATTGTAGTGGATTGATTATTTTAAATAATTGTTTTATCTCTTTGCAGCTTGTTCAGTGGCTGGTATTCCAGGTGTAAAGAAATGGTATTTTGCGAGTCATGTTATATGCGGTTATTATCAAGTAAGCCATACATTTTTTTTCAGAATATAAGTTCCTCAACTGTCTTCCTGTCTCTAGTGCAAGTTAAAACACTGATGTTCAAAATTCTTTTTGCTTAATTAGTTCTTTTTGCTTGATTAGTTCTGCAGTTCTGACTGGGAGGAAATAAATTTTGACACACAGAAAAATGAAGACTGTCTCCAAACAAGTATTGACGAATGCCTGGGAACCATACAAAATTTTGAGGAAGACGACAATAACAGTCGAGAGTCACTGTCTATGACTGAGTATGCATATTATTATTTTTATTGAAAGTATAGTGATCTGACATTTAACAGTAATAACCCAAGGGAATCAAGAAAATTTAACAAGTAGATGTTATTACCAAAGCTACAGTTAACTATGAACAATCCCCTACTACTACTGAAAATAATTCTATGTCGTTTAACATAGCTTTAAGTTTTTTAGCTACAGATGATTTTTATAGAATAACTGAACAGTTTCCTAACAGCTGACGGTTATATATACAAGAAGAAGTTTCTTGCTAATCTGTCTTGAATCCTTTGAATCCTGCTTCCAGTTTGACTACAGATTGTTTTGAAATCATTTAGCCTACTTCTGCCTCAGTAAAAGGGGAGATAAGTATATCTCATTGCCTAGGTATGTTTGTGCAGAATTTTAAAGATATAAGATACTTACATCAGGTAGTATTCATTAGCTGTAACTTTTTGTTTCTGAATGACTTTGTTTATATTTTGTTTCCAACCATGTCTCTCTTCATTTTCAGTATCTATGATGAAGCTGCGGAAAGTCTGCATCAGTTAGCTGATAAACTGCCTGCCCCAGGTAATGTCTCTTAAAAAAGCAATCTCATTTGAGTTTATCTTGTTAGTTATTACTTCAAAAACTCAGCTGGTAAAATCATAGTCAAATGGAAAAATTCAGAGGATGTTAGTTTGTTAGTTGAATTAACTTGTATGCAGCTCTTGCAAGTAGTTTAAGGAAGTTGAGCATGATTGGCACTGCAGATCAGCTTACAGAGTAGTTTGCTTGTTTCTTTGCAAGGCTGTATTTCAGTAGAGTTTAAGGTAGCTATTTATATGATAAATTTTTCCGTCTGAAATGGCACCAAAGTAGTAATAGACAGTAAGCAATACGAAACTCAACATGCAACCACAGGAAGTTTTTATTAAAAAAATGGAAGGTGGTGACATCAGGCTTACATCTGATTTGCCAGCTGATTGCTTGTGGGTGGGAGCCAAGAAGCTGTGAAGGAATGTAGGTCAGAACTATTGGATTCAGATTTTGTACTGGAGACGCGTATCACCTTGCATGTTAGGGTCACATAATGTTGCAGTAGTTGATTTGGGATAGCAAAGGAACTGAATGCAGAAAAAATGAGAAATAGCAGTTTAGAGGTGTTAAAAGGAGGAAAATGACATAGCGTAGTTGTACTGGAGACACCTCTGATCTGCCAGATACAGTGCTGAGTGAGAGGAGAAAGGTACAGAATTGCTGTAACTGAGCGAATGGCAAAATACTTTATTTTGTGTTAATCTAAGAGGAGCAGCGAGCGATGAGCTAAAATGTGTGAAAAGTGTTTTCAATCTTGCTGAAGTTAATTGAAGTTGATCTTTAAGCGCATTTTAGTGCAGTCAGTGATAGTACTTTTCTATCTTTAAATGACTGAATCATTTACTGAATAATGGTACTTTGAGTCATATATAACTTTTTATAGGCAGAGCAATGGTTGATGTAATACTGCAGGCTGTTGAACGAGATGGACCCAAGTTAAAAGACTGCTTACGTGCTATCGGTGCCCTGAAACACCTGAGAGAATGGCACTCTGCGCAGATCACTATTGCAGCAAATGACTCTAAAGGGTATGCCATTTATTTTAGGTCTATAAACAAGGTCACTCTTGTGTTAGTATAAGTCAGTGGTTAAAAACAGCATCTTGAGTACTTTACGTGTATACTCTGAAAACACATAGATTTGTCTTCTGTTACTGTTTGAGGGGAGGAATTACTCATGCTGATTTATTGTAAATCCATGCCCTAACCAGAGGGGCAGGCAAAAAAGCAAGTCCTCTGAAGTTCCTGTTTCTATGAGAGCAGAAGGTAAAATATTTTCTCTTTCCTTTCCATCGCTAGTGGCTTCAGTGTGGATACGATGTTTTGAAGTTGTACTATGCTACATGATAACTTGTATTGATTGTAGTTTTCCAGTTTTTGTAAAATGAATACATAACTCTGCTGGTTTTACTTTAAATTTTATATTACCTTTGGTATTACATTTCAGGGAGGAAAAAAAAGAGTGTCTGATTTGTCCCTTTTGAAAATGGAGTATAAATGCTCGATTACTTCCTGTATGCTTCTGAAGAGCATTAACACTGAAACTATTAATTCAATTTGAAATTAAGTCCAGTAATTTCCTTACTGTCCTCCTCTAATTGACAGAAGTA